TTTTTCCTATGGGAACATGTGGTAGTTGTTGGCGAATGGTGACTTTAAATTCCTTTGTAGTGCAAAGTTGCATCCCCTTGTTTTTTTTGGCCTTGTTTGAATGCCCAAAAGCTCCTCAATCATTCATCCTTTTTGCTCATCTTTTCATATTTTTTTTGGCCATTATTTTCATATAATTTTGCTTTTATGTTTTGGATAGGCCCACCATTTTCCCTCGGGAGCTAGCTAGCTAGATTCTACAATAATTGCACAAATGAGCCTAGAAATGCAACTCCAAGCCCCCAACAATATATAAAAGATGAGCTCCATCCTCGAGGGTCCTCTCAGACCCGACCAGTCGATCACTGCGAGAAGCTAAATTGAACTTTTATCGTAGATTGGTGGCAAAGAGTCAAGCTTGCACCTAGTACTTACACAAGCCCATATACTTAGCATAGTTGATTCTCAGCGTAGTTGCTAGGAATTGAACTCGGGTCTTATCCTCTTGGTATTTCTTGCCTTGTCAATTGCGTAACACTCACCGGCGCCCCAACAATATATGACTTTATCAAGAACACTGCCAGCTTAAAAGGTAAAGGTAATTAGATGTTAAATACCCATTCTATTCCATAATACGGAGTAATTTTTTATTAAAGATTATTAGATGCATTAAATTTTAAATTAATGTAGACTTAATCATGTGTGCATTCATACAAAACCTAAAATATCTAATAAACCTTAATGAATAGTTGTTGTAGAATTGAAGGAACACGCAAGTTACGAGCTAAAAGTTGGCTAAAATATTTTGCATAGGCCCACCATTTTTCCTCGGGATTATAAAGACTTTGTATTTATTTGAATCTTAAAACCAAATAAGAATTTATTGAATAAGCTACATTAATTGAATTTATTGTTCAAATATGTTGAAGTATATACTAGGAAAATCAAGAGATATACTTCCCCCATCCCAAGAAAGACTTCTAGTTATTATTCATATGTCAATCTAATTCTAGTTTCTTTATACATTTTAATCGATTATTTGATAAAATAGAAATAATCTTGTCACTACTTGTTTTGTAAAACTTTTGATGTAGTTTTTAATATAGAATTTTTATTTTTAATTAAAAACCAAATTTTAACTATCTCTATTTTACATACATATAATAATATATTTCAAAATTATTCCCTCCATCCACCTAAGATCTTCCCATTACGTGTTACGAGGCTTGACCGACTTTATTTTCAATTCAATTTAATTGATTATAGGAGTAAAATTTTAAAACAAGATTTATATAGTAATAAACTACATGAAAAGTTCTATAAATTTAGATGCGACAAAACTATGTTATTTTACGAAATGACTAGTAAAAATAAGCAAACAAAGTGAGTAAATTTGAACCATGTAAATAGTGTCTGGGAAGATCTATGGTGGACAGAGAGAGCATGTATCAAAATTAATCCATTGATAATAATTTTATATGAAAATTCAATGTATTTTCCATAATATGCGATTAAAGTTTAAAAAGTTTGACTATAAAAGTCAAACTGTGAGTTAATTTTAGGACGGAAAAGTACAAGAGATGAAGGTTAAAACAATTGAATTGCTTGGCTAATGTTAGCTTGGAATGGTACATTTGAATGGCTTTTTTTGTTTTGACTGTTGGTTGCATTGGTTCTTACAACCTACAAGTCTACAACAGGACTCTATATGCAAGAAGAAATGGCCAAATAAGTTTAACATTTACATTCAACAAAGTGTGCATTTTTTGTTACTGACAAAGTTATACACTTTGGATCTGAAAATGTCTGTTTTTTTGTTTTTGCATTATATTTAGCTCATTTATGTTAACCAATGAGTGTCATACCAGCAAGGAGATCTTCTTTGTAGGTTCATGTTTTTTTCCCTCCTTTTCAGTATATAATTAACTCTATTACTATTACGTACAATACAATGTCTATTCAAATGAGTATATTTTATCAACTTATTGAAAAATAAAGAATCAACATCTACTCTAGTTTAGAAGAGTCAAAGTAATGCCTACGCACCATAATATCTTTGAAATATGAGTTTTGTCTACTTCAATAAATAATACTCCCTCCATCCCACAAAAATGTTCTCATTTTGAATAATGTTTAGTCAAATATTTACATGCTTTGACTACAAATTGTGAGAAAGGTATATTGAATTATAAAATAAATTTAATATAATTGGATTAATCTTAGGATCTAGTTTTGATATCTCAAATTTTTTTAGTATTTCTTTGTTTAGATTATATTTAATTTATGGTCAAAACATGTAACTGTTTGACCAAAAATACATCAAAATGGGAACTTTTTTGTGGGACGGAGGGAGTACTGAATTAGAAAGTTTATATATCAAAATAACAGTTTATATATTTCACCTTGTTGAACCAATTCAACTAAAAATTCAAGTTTGTGATTCTGTCCTAAGAAAAGATTTTTACATTCTGACACGTTACCAAAATACTGAAAGTTTATTTAAATAAAATGTAAATGATATTTAATTTTATGCAGAAAAGATAAAAATCTTAAGCTATATAAAACTTTTTAAATATGGAGTATATAATTATAAATGTTATAAAAATTTGATATATAAAAAAACTTGAGATGAACATAATTATATTGAACTTATATTATAATTCAATATATACAATTTTTCATGATTTATGATTAAAATATATCATTGTTTGACTAAAAAAATCAAAAAACAAAGAATGTGTCATTTTGAAATCATATTTGTTGGTGAGAGGGACTAACAATAATTATCTTTGGAGAGCACAAAGAAATACTCCGTAAGAGCACTGGTAATACATGCAACGCCCCCCGGCGTGATGGGGCGTTTAACGCCCCAGGAGCGTGAAACACCGCCCCCCTCCGGGCGTGATCGGGCGTGAGTTCACCAGCGTTAAAAGTTTGACGCGGCTTGGCTGCGTTTCTTAGCCAGCTCCCCCCTTCCCAACGGCTATATAGCCGTTACCCCCCCCCCCCCCCCAATTAAAAAAGAATTCTAAATTTAAAACAAAAACTATAAAATCCCTCTATCTCATACATCTTTCTCACACCTCTCTCTCACAAATCTCTCTTTATTACTATATATTCTCTCAAAAATATTTATTATTTATTATAAATATTTATAAAATATAATTTAAAAATAGGTTCATCTTCCGACGATGAAAGAAGAGCTTTATTTTTTCATTGTTTCGCGACGAATTGTATTCAATGGTGGGAAGATGACCAAGAAGAAGCTGAATCCTCCCGACGATGGACCCGACGCCAACGTCTAAACCGGGATCGAGCGGTCGCCCACGATTCACTTCTAAACGACTACTTTAATAATCCGTGTGTTTATACACCGGAGGATTTTAGTAATCATATTCGGATGAGTCGTCCTCTCTTCTACGCATACTCGCCGATGTTGAACGCGAGGTTCCTTGGTTCAACCAACGTTTGATGCGAGAGGCCGACGCGGGTTTAGTAGCGTCCAAAAGTGCACTGCCGCGCTCCGTCAGTTGGCGTACGGGACGGCTTCCGGATTATTCCACGATTATCAAATCCTTCTCCGAACCAATGAGTCTTAAACGCCAAACCTACAAAAAAGCTCAAGAGGCGGCGAGAAAAGATATTGAACGAGCCTTTGGGGTCTTGAAGGCTAAGTGGCACATTCTAGATCGTTCGTTGAAATGTTATTCTCAAACAAAAATGAGGAATATCATGTACGCATGTATTATTCTTCATAATATGATCATAGAGGATAACGGGTCTGCGATTTGTCAACACAACCGGTACGAGGAAGTGCCTATGTACGAAGAAATCACCGAAGAAAAGAAACGACGCAACCGCCAAGAAATTCGAAGCCGAGAGATTCACAATGCACTAACGGCGGATTTGATCGAGCATATCTTTAGCCGTTCGAATAATTAGTGATTTCTTTGTACTATTGTTTTTTATGTAATTTTTTTAATGAGTATAATTTTTTTTTGAATGTTTTGTTATGAATGTAAGATTTTTTTATAATGAATTTAATTTTTTATGCACTAGTATAATTGCGATTAATTAAAATAATAAATTAATTTAAATTTATTAATTTAAATTTAGAAGATGTATATTTAAAAATGTAAAAAATGAAGGTTTGAAGCCCAGTTTTGAAGCCCAGTTTTGAAGCCCCGGGGCTTCAAATCCATTTCCAGTGAATTTTGGGTGTAAGTTAAAACTGACGTGGCAGAAAGAGAAAGTTTGAAGCCCCGGTTTGAAGCCCCGGGACTTCATAACCATTACCAGTGCTCTAATGTCTGTGTGAGAAATGAAAATGATGGTCCAAAAGCTTTCGTTCCCTTTTGTTTTTAGCATTTCTTTATTTAGATTATATTTAATTTATGGTCAAAACACGTAACTGTTTGACCAAAAATACATCAAAATGGGAACTTTTTTGTGGGACGGAGGGAGTACTGAATTAGAAAATTTATATATCAAAATAACAGTTTATATGTTTCACCTTGTTGAACCAATTCAACTAAAAACTCAAGTTTGTGATTCTGTCCTAAGAAAAGATTTTTACATTCTAACACGTTACCAAAATACTGAAAGTTTATTTAAATAAAATGTAAATGATATTTAATTTTATGCAGAAAAATAAAAATCTTAAGCTATATAAAACTTTTTAAATATGGAGTATATAGTTATAAATGCTATAAAAATTTGATATATAAAAAAACTTGAGATGAATCTAATTATATTGAACTTATACTATAATTCAATATATACAATTTTTCATGATTTATGATCAAAATATATTATTGTTTGACCAAAAAAAATCAAAAAATAAAGAATGTGTCATTTTGAAATCATATTTGTTGGTGAGAAATGAAAATGATGGTCCAAAAGCTTTCGTTCCCTTTTGTTTTTACGGAGTAATTTCTATCAAATACGTATTTCAAAAGCTGAGACTTTTTTGGGCTATTTATTACTCGTAATTATCTCCTCATCATATTCCTTCGTTTCTTCTGTTCTTCTTTTTTTGTCACTTTCCTGCTCTTCTTTAATTACTTCTCCTCCTTAAAAATCAAGGAATTAAATGCGAGTCAAATTTTCTTGAAATTAAAACCAATGAAGAAGAAGAAGACGGAGCCCAATTTCTCGGCGGCTATGGCTATCTTCCTCTGCTTTTTCGTTGGATCCTTTGCGGGGTTGCTTTACGAGCAGGCCCAGCCGGCGGTTGAGCCGCCGGGAACTACTATCCAGGCATTTCCGGTTCAGCCGGAGACGCAGAGGTGCAAGCTTGACTTCTCTGCCGAGCTTTTCGGCGGCGTGAAAGCCGCCTGCCCGTCGGGCAACCTAGACCGGAACCGGTGCTGCCCGGTGTTGGCGGCGTGGGTCTACGCCGCTTACGCTCGCTCGGCGCTTCAGGTCTCCGCCGCCGCGTCCCCGTCTCCTCCGTCGGGGCTGCCGATGATGCCGAACGACGACCAGTCGTGCGTCAGCTCGCTCCAGGACTGGCTCCAGAGGAACAAGATTGAGATTCCTCGGCCCAATTCCACGTGCGACACCGTTTTGTGCTTCTGCGGCATCCGCCTCCACCGCATCACATCCCTCACCTGCTCCGCCGCTTTCAACGTCTCCGTCTCCGGCACCGCCACGCCGACCTCCGTTGTCACGGATCTCGCCCCGAACTGCCGCCAGCCCTCGTTTTCCGGCTGTACCCAGTGTCTAAAATCTCTCCAAAAGGTCAAAATCTTAAATTAAAATAGAAGTTCTTGCAAAAAATTCGATCTTTCTTGAAATCTTGACTGAAAATCAGTCTTGAAAATGTGCAGATTAAGGGCGGGGCAAAAAACGCGACGAGAAAAGCTCGAAACGGCGACAACAATCGGGCAACGAGGATGTTAAACGAGGATTGCCAGTTAATGGGGCTGACGTGGTTGCTGGCGCGGAACAAGACGGCTTACATTCCGACGGTGTCGGCGGTGCTGCGGGCCATAATGTACGGTGGGTCTCCGGCGGCGGACGGGTGGAAAATCGAAAACGCGAAATGCAGCCAGGACCAGGAGAACATGCCGTTGGCCGTCGACTCGTCGCAGTTCAAAAACGCCGATTCATCTTCATCATCATCAATTTACTTTCCCATTTCGTCCTTAATTCTGATGATTAATATTCATATTTTGTTGATCAATTATTACTCGTATTAATTTACTATTAGGGGTCCTTCAGTTTGTTTTTTTTCCCCATGTAAATCCAAGCTTCGTTTTCTTGGTTTGTCAATTCAAATGTCACGCCCTATCTGATGAAACACTACAATGTGCCATTTTCTTACATAAAAAGAGGCGCCGTTTACTTTATTCCGATTTTGATGTGATAAATCATTTACTCTTTACAAAATTGCTAGTTTTTTTTACGTTTACTCCCTCTGTTTTATAATGTTCTTTTTGGTTTTGTATACGAGTTTTGACCGATTTTATTTTTAAATTTATTTTATTTGATTGTAGGTATAAAATTAAAGAATAAAATTTATATATTTAAAATTACATCAAAATTTCTACAAAGCAAGTGGTGACAAGACTATATTATTTTATTAAATACCTAATAAAGGTGATGGTGTAAATATAAATGGGTAGGTTGACCGGGTCTGACCTATACACAGACTCTACTTGTAGTAAATACACACAATCAGGACACAATCAGGTTGACCGGTCATCTCCTGAGCTCGGGATTACCTCTTGGTCTTCCGTAGCATCCCTCGTAACATTGGTGACATTTTTTTGTTATTGCTCAAAATGTGACCGGTCATTTTTTGAGGAAAGTGACCTGTCAAATTTGGATTCATCTCTTTCAAAGAGTTTGTCTCGTTTTCTAATTGAGGAAAGTAACCGGTCACTTTTTGACCTGTCACTTTCGGAAATTCGGGCTGGGTATAAGGATATACCCATCAGAAGGTAAAAGTAATTAAAGTTTGACCATGTAAAAAGTAAGTGGGAAGAACATTTTAGGACGGTTTTTTAAGGTTAGATATATAAATAAAAAGGAAAATTTACATATTTAAAATGCGCACTAAAATTCACTCCTCATAAACTATTTTGACTTTTAATTTTTTTATAAAAATTAGTAAAATAAAAAACATTAAATTTTGAAATAAATAAAAATGAGAAAAAATTTAGTAATAAAGGGAAATGTGAGGGTCTTATATAAAGTTAGATTAATACAACATTCAATGTGACTATTTTATTCATACATGTTTAATATAATTTAAAATATTGATTTTTTCTTATTTTATCATGTAAATTAATGTACAAAAAAATTATCTGATTCATATTAAAAAGTTGAAAAAAAATACTCCCTCCGTCCACCTAAGTTCTTCCAGTTACGCGTTACGAGGCTTGACCGAGTTTATTTTTAATTCAATTTAATTGATTATAGGAATAAAATTTTAAAAAAAAATTTATATAGTAATAAACTACATGAAAAGTTCTACAAAACTAGAGATGACAAGACTATATTATTTTACGAAATGACTAATAAAAATGAGCAAACAAAGTGAGTAAAGTTTGACCTTGTGAATAGTGTCTGGGAAAATCTATGGTGGACAGAGGGAGTAATGAGTATGAATTGTAAAAATAATGAGATTAAAAAATTATTTATAAACTATAGATCTGAACATAATTGTTGTAATAATTTAATAATAATCACATTAAAAATAAATCATTTTTAGAGTAATTAGTTGGCGAGTAGAAATAGTTTGAAGAAAATGAGAATAGTTGGAAGGAACTAGAAGAAGCTGGAAGAACTAGAAGAAACTAGAAGGAACTGAAAGTTAAAAGTTTAAGCCTTAAAGCACATGGTCTAAAATGTGTAAATTATTTAGGGACGGAGGGAGCATATATTCTCTCAAAGAGATTCTTATATCTCGTTTGACATCAGCGTATGACATTAACGTTAACATTTTTAAAAGGTTATCTGATCTTTTAGTGTTTGCGTTTTCAGAATTAATCTACATCATTAATTTTTTATCTACAATGCTAACGTTAATAAAAAACGTTATTCACAAACAAGGTCTTATTCTATCTCCAATGTTGAGCGGTGCGCTCCCCATGTAGACCTAATCAACATTTCATAGAAGCTTTTATTTTAAATATTTTTCACGGATACTTTTGACCTTCAACAATCTTCACGGATCCATCCCTTAGGACAATTGGCCGCAGATGGGCGATAGATGGATGCTGCGGACCACGTTGCACTCCAAGCCGGCGGCGACCACGTCAGCGACGGGTGACACATGAAGTCTTGCGTTGGAGACCGTCTTATATATTATTCTTTCGATTCGTAGTTTATTGTTACAGTTACTATTCTAGACTATATATATTTTGTTTCCTAGTATTTCTTTCAAGAAATGAAATGATAGTTATGGAATGAATCCAGTTCTTGTTTTTATTAGAGTTAGATCAAATCGGACTAGAAAAGAAATAATTTTAAATATAACTTGAATCAGATCAGAAGAAACTTATCATACGAGAAGAAAAGAACATACCAACTCCAATTATTTTTCTTGCTTTTTATCCTACACTTATTTGATTGATCTACGTAATTTAAGTGAAAGTATTTTTTTAAATGTACTCTAATGGATAAAAAGATAAAGCTATTTTAAAATTAGAAATTGATGCCAAAGTTTGACATTAGAAATTCATACCAAAATAATGATTATCTACGCAATTGAGATACTGAATAGGGAGAAAGACAAAAGTAGGACTAAAACATTGAAAATATACTAAAATAGGATTTTTATGTTTTTATTCCCGAAATAGGACTTACATTACCATACATGGTCATATACATCACCAAAAAAGTATAGTAATTTGCACATGTACACTGCCACATTACAACATGGCAAAGTCACATTACCACAGTGCAAAGTCCTATTTCGAGAAAAAAATAAACATGAAAGTTTTATTTTGATACGTTTCTCTAGTTTTAATCCTAGTTAGGGTGATTTCTTTAGTGAATATTTCTAAAATACATGATATATCCCTTCGTCTCAATGTAATTGTCCAATTTGTTTTTTTGAGTCAAATAAGATAAAATTTAAGCTTTGATTAAATAAAAATTGTAATTTATATTAGTATAAAAATGATTTTATTAGATTTATCTTGTTGTAATATCATAATTTTATATAATTGTACTAATATACTATAGAAATTGAGAGTAATTGGATCTTAAAGTTTATCAAGTTTGACTTTTCGGAACCAAACTAAATTCACAATATATCCAAACAAGATATACATCCAAAATTGAGTTGAAGTGAAACTAATTAAAATCTAATCGATTACATCTAAAACTAACCAAATCCAATTAAAATTGACCAAATTTGAAAGTGATGTAGAAAAAAATACAAGTCACAAAATTTTACAAGAATAAAATGAGTACTATAAAACTGATTTGATCTGAAACTAATTAATATCTAATCGATCAGAACTAAAAGTAACCAAATCCAATTAAAATTGACCAAAGCCAAATCTGAAAGTGATGTAGAAAAAAATACGAGCCACAAAATTTTACTTATAAAGTAAAATGAGATTTTTTTGGACATTTTAAAAAATGAACTCGAGATAAATGGAATATGAGAATGATTTTTAAAAAGATAAGAACTACAATGTTGAGAAAAAAAATGAGCCACAAAATTTTACTAAAATAACCAAATCCAATTAATTTCAATCAAACAAAAGTGACCAAATCCAATTAAAATTGACCAAAATCAAATCTGAAAGTGGAATATGAGGCTGATTTTTCAATTAATTTCAATCAAACAAAAGTTCTATTTGTTGAGTGGAATTTGAAAGTTGAATTTTAGGTATCTCGAATACTTTATTGAGTACATCCTTTTAATAAAAATATTATTTACATGTGTTTGACAATATAATACACATGGAACATTATTAACATGCTAATAAAAACAAATTGTTCTATTTGTTTCGCACAGTAGGGAGAATAATTCTTTGACTACTCTGATAAAAGTTTGGTCAAAGATTTGAAAAATATAGTAGATGAGCATAATGTTTTAACACAGATATTTAGAAGAACTAAAGAGTTCATGGATAATGAGCCTGAGGCTGTTGAAAAGTAAGACTTCATATATAATGAGCCTACTTCTAATGTATCATTGATGTTGTTGACAAGTAAAACTAGAGACTCAAGAAATTATAATATCTCCACAATAAATGAAGTTGGTGCTCTAATAGTTAAAGATCTTGATTCTTAACACAAGTTATTCCTCAAGAATATAGTGAACTTCACTTATCCGAACTTATTCGAGAACATAAAAAGCTACTCCCTCCGTCCCAAAATATTCACAACATTTGTTTTTTCAGCAGTCGCGAGAACTTTTGTTTGATTGAAATTAATTGGATTTGGTTAAAAAATTAAACTCGAGATAAGTGGAATATGAGGCTGATTTTTAAAAAGATAAGAACTACAATTCGAGACACAAAATATTACTCCGTACTCCGTACTAAAATAAAATGAGAACTGTTTTTTTTTCAGCGTTTACAAAAATGAACTCGAGATAAAAGGAATATGAGGACGTGTTTTAAAAAGATAAAAATTACAATGTTGAGAAATTACAATGTTGAGAGTGGGATTTGAACCCACGCCCTTTCGGACCAGAACCTTAATCTGGCGCCTTAGACCAACTCGGCCATCTCAACATTTGTGATAAGGCGCAACACAGCGCGGTATATAATCTATGTTTGTTTTTAAGTCACACACTCACACTACTCTATGTTCCAAAATCTCACATTAAGCCATTGGAAAGTATTCTCTCATGTCCATTAATAGTATAAATATATGAATAAATGAACCTAATGGGGAGTACCTTTTTTTAGATATCTAACAATTATTTTTGCATTTCTCCATTTTCTATTCTAGGAAATAAAAATGAGAATATTTTTTATGCTCTCTGTTTCAAACAAATTTTAACACAATTTTCAGTTTTATTTATCAAATATCTTTCACTTTAAAATATTTTTCTTAAAATATATAAAATCAAACTGTACAATTTTTTAAAGTTTTTTCCAAACCATGTGAGACGGCGGGATGCTGACGCCCCTGTACGGAGATGCGAGCGGATTACGGTTTTCGGGAGAAGTAGGGGAAGGGGTAGACCTAAGAAGAATTGGGAGGAAGTGATTAGACAGGATTTAGGACTTCTCACCCTGACTGAGGATATGACTTTAGATAGGAACCTTTGGAGAACTAGGATTAGAGTAGCTGGTTAGGAACTCGGTGCTATAGAGGTTTTTTATAGTGTGTTGTGTTTGATTGGAATCTTTTATTAATACTTGTAGAACTTTCTTTTCATTGTACTTGGTGTTTTATCCATGCTATACTGTATACCCTATCATATTTTTTGTGCAGGTTGAGCCAGGGGTCTCTTGGAAACAGCCTCCCTGCTTCCAAGTAGGGGCAAGGTCTGCGTACACACACCCTCCCCAGACCCTACTGTAGAGGGATCCAACTGGGTTGTTGTTGTTGTTTTTAAAGGCAAACAAAGTACATTTTCAATGTACAACTTTTAATATTTAATTTTCATCGATCGGATTTTCATTCGGTGATTGATGTCTATAAGATGTTGGTGGTTGACTTTCGGTCTATTTTGAATTCTTTTATTCGAAGTACTTTGAACATTATGGCTCATAAGTATGGTTGTGGGAGGATTCCCATATTACTCTCTAGTGAGTGCGGAGGATTATTCCTAAAAAGGAAATAATGAATCTTTTTTGGACGGAGGAATATTCCCATTTTAACACATCACGACAAACAAGCACTTAAAAATTTGGAAATCATATAATATGGAGCTAAAATAGCTTAAATGAAAATCGAATTTAACATATCAACCTACATATGAAATCAAAGAGAAACCATGTGATTCAATCAATTCAACAACCCTAACAACTTGCACATCAATTGAAGAAAATTAGTATGAATCAACTCTTATTTATAAGAAATTTAATATCAATATTCAAAGAAGAACAAACATGCACCCACAAAAGAACACCAACCATATATTTTTTTAGGATCTTTAAAATTATTTAAAACAAGCAAACAAAATATATAGAATTGAATTGAAAGCAACACTTTTACTTAGAATTGAAAAGAAATTGAACAAATTACAATATATGGTTACCAATAGAGGAGGAAGAAGATGATATAATTGAAGCTGGAATTGCTATGTGGGAGTTGGTCATCGCTGTCGCCGTGCGTAGATTGCAGCGGCCAGAGTGTTAGATTGCAGCCACCGCTCCGTGTCCGTATGGTTAGATTCAAAATAGCCCAGTTATTCAAGTGTCGTATTGTCTAATCCAATTGTCCATACTCATCCTAGATTCTATCGAATTTGCTTGGCTTTTTACTACTCCGAGTATATTTTTCTCTAGCAAATAAGATATATGATAATTTGAATTATGGAAAATAAAATAAAAAGAATAATATGTAAAAAGTTATTAAAAAACTACTAAAAAAATAAAAAGAGTGTAGAAATAAGAACTAAAATAAAAATAAGCTAAACAACTAAAAAAGATAAACTAAACACGCCGATTTATCCAAATTCGAATCATTAATAGGTTCAAAATCTTCACTCTGTAGAATTGTAAGTTAAAGCATTCATGTGTCAATGAAGTTAATCTTCGTTAACCACAACTAATACATCATCTATGCTATTGCAAATTTTACATAAAAAAGTGTTCGTAAACAGAATATAATTACGTGGTGCGTACCAAGATTGTAATGGACCTTGAGGTAGTATTTGAAGTATGAGGAATAATGGTTTGCCAAGGCATGAACTTTACCAAGAGAGCAAAATGATTTTATGTAATTAAAAAGTAAAATTTAAATGCCCAAATGACAAGATTATATATTTTAAAATTAAAAGTATCTTAATTCAGGGAAAATACCTAATCATTTCACAACCAAAAATATAAAAATAAGAGATAAAAAGCTACCCACCTACGCAATTTAGTCTCTAATATTCAACAAATTTTAAGTATTCGCAAGGACTTGCAAAGATGAAACCACATTCGAAAAATAGATATGTCATTAACAATTTAGCTAAACAATTGCAAGCACATATTTTACAACTTGCCATGGACCCGGCCCATTTATGTCGACGAATGGCGGATCAAAAACATTCGCATAAAAAAAGGGATCCAAAAATCAGTGATAACCTTACCGTTAGAATTGATGGCTGAAGTGCATAGCTTATAATTTGATTTATAGATGACCAAAATTGGAAAAATCTTTCAACAATTGATTAATATGAATTGAAGTGGGAAACTTACCGGATCTTTCGCACGAAGAACGATTTTCGGTTGCTAACAAAGATGACAATTTGGATGGAATCGAAAGAGGAAGATCGAAGAAGAAAAGTTTCGTAATTGCCATCATCCATGGAGATTCTTCGGGAACGAAGCAAAAAAGTTTGACCGAAGGATGAAAGATGGAAAATTGCTTTATCAAAGTTGGTGGACATTCGTGAAAAAAGAGGGAAACCTTCGGTCAAATGAAATCAAAATCCTATAGAATACGTGTGCCACATGGGATGCTGATTTGGTTAAAAAATGCCTAGTAGTCGTGTCAACTATCAAAATTCTGAAAGCCTAATATTCCATTTTATATTTAAAGATATCAAAGAAGCTAAGGAATGTTGGTTGAATTTAAGAAGAAATATACTTGGGGGATTCTCACTTGGTGTAACACATACAAACAATCAATATCTATACATATAAAGATATTGAGTGTTTCTATAGGTCTATTTTTGCTGCTTTGTGTATACTTAGTGTACACCCAAGTGGGTTCCCTAACACTCCTCGTTTAAGAATCTTGGTTCAAGAATGTGCTTGATTACCATAGTGATACTTCAAACTCACAAACTCCTATTGGGACATTTAGATTTACCATAGCATTTCACAGATACAGGCATCGACACCGAAATTCGACCTAATAAGATCCGTAGACTAAAATTTGCGAGAATGAAGAGGAATATATTCAGCTCAGGTTGGAATTGAAGGTTTAATTTGAAGAACAGATTTAGGAGCAGAAGCGCACAAGAAGGGTTTGGTCATGATAAATCATTCCAAAATGGCTAAATTAACTGCTTTGGTCCCTCCAACAGAAAGCAAACGCCTCTTTTACCCACCATCATCAAGTAATCTCTCCTCCGCCTTGCAACAGTACATCAATTCCGACCACCCAGCACAAGGCCAAACGCTCCATTCCCACATCCTGAAAACTGGGTTCAAACCCAATATTAATGTCTCCATCAAGCTCTTGATACTTTATATCAAGTCTTCATGCATCACCTACGCACGCCAGGTGTTCGATGAATTGCCTCACCTAACACTCTCGGCTTATAACTACATGATCTCGGGTTATTTAAAGAGTGGGTTAGTCCAAGAATCTTATGATTTAGTCAGGAAGCAGAGTTTTTCAGGTGTGAGAGCTGATGGGTTTACATTCTCGATGATCTTGAAAGGGTCTACTTCTTTGGATTTAGTAGGATTGCGAGGTGGCTTTATTGCAACGCAGGTTCATGCCCAGATAATAAGATCATGTGTTGAAGGTGATGACGTGCTTTACACAGTTTTGGTTGACTCGTACGTTAAGAACGGGAAAGTACATTATGCTCGGAGAGTGTTTGATCTGATGTCGGTAAACAATTTTGTTTGCTCAACCTCAATGATAACAGGCTACATGAACGAAGGGAATGTGGATGATGCAGAAGACGTGTTCAAGAAAACGCGCGTAAAAGACGAAGTTGTTTTCAATGCAATGATAGAAGGTTACAGCAAATCCATCAAAACTGCTAAGAAAGCAATTGAATTTTACATAAACATGAAAAAATTGGGATTTAACTCCACAATTTCCACGTTCGCAAGCTTGATTGGTGCTTGCTCTGCTCTAGCGGCCTTTGAAGTTGGTCAGCAAGTCCTTGGGCAAGTAATAAAGACTAGCTTTGTTCAACACATAAAGATCGGAAGTGCTTTGATTGACATGTTCTCAAAATGCGGGCAGACAGAAGAAGCGAGAAGCATTTTTGACCACATGCCCGAAAGAAACGTATTTTCTTGGACTTCAATGATTGATGGGTATGGTAAGAACGGATACCCAAATGAAGCTCTTGTTCTCTTCGATGAAATGCTCATGAACCTTCATGTTAAACCTAACTATGTCACATTCCTAAGCGCTCTTTCAGCATGTGCACATTCCGGACTAGTCTCTAAAGGAAAGCACATCTTTGAAAGAATGGAGAAGGACTATTCAATGAAGCCAAGAATGGAGCATTATGCTTGCATGATTGATTTGTTGGGCCGGGCGGGGCGTCTAAATCAGGCTTTGGAGTTTGCGATAAATATGCCCGAGAAGCCCAATTCGGACGTGTGGGCTGCTTTGCTTAGTTCTGGTAGACTACATGGAGATGTTGAAATTACAAATTTAGCTGCTAAGGAACTCTTTAATTTAAGTGGGAATAGTCGGCCAGGGGCTTATGTTGCGCTGTCGAACACATTGGCAGAGGCGGGAAAATGGGATAGTGTGAGTGAACTTAGAGTGTTGATGAAGTCGCGCGGGATATCAAAAGGCACTGGGTTCAGTTGGGTTGGGAGAGATGGATACCTTGAAGCTTTTCATGCTGGTTAGAAGATCCAGTTAAGTATGTGTTTTTATAAAATTAATCCAAGAAAGCTCAGTAACTTTGCATTCAGAGAAGGGTGTAGAAAACTGTGATTGAAGGTGTGACTTCAGGCCAGCTATTAGGCTCTGTTTGGATGCCAAGGAAAGATGATCTCAGCTTCTTGTCCATGACCTTCTGAAGATTAAAACTTGTCAATCAAGAACATCAGTTGACTTGAAGCATGTGAAGAAGATGGGGCTACTGATTGGAAAATGCTACTGTAACGTTAGAGATGACACCAAGGTTGACACAATCACGGACAGAGTGAAATTATTGTCAGCGAAACACTGATGTTGTCAACCTTAGTATCCTCCATGGTATGACTATAGCCTGATCCTGCTCATAATATGGCTAAAAAAGGTGTGGGTAAGAGATTATTGAGAATGGTAGTAGAGGGCACACTCCTAGCTAGCTTTGTGTAGAATAGACAAAGAGAGCCTTGTTTTAGAATTCTTCTTGAATTCATTCTTGGATATTTCTTTCCGTGTGGCTGCCATACATGTTCCCTTTCAACTTATTTATACTATGTTTGGTTCAAAAAGGAAAAGAAAATGAGATGGAAAAAAATGTTCTTGTTTGGCCAGAGACGAAAAGTAAAGAAAAAGAAAATGAGAATGCGAAATTTACTAAGAGGGAAATCTAAATTCCTCCCGTTTTGGTGAGGAAAAATGGCCGAAAACTATTTTCTTTTCTTTTCATTCCGAATTCCTTGAACCAAACATGGTGTTAGTCGTTCCAGCCAAAATAGGATTCACCAAACAGGCACTAAAACAACCATGCTTCGTCATAGGTTGCTTCTACATGCATGAAAAAAAACACAATTAGACAGAAATGTTTAGAAGGTGTTTGGGAGGGTAGTGAGTAATTGAAAAATAGAAGTCATATTTTAAAAACAAAAAATAGGCATTTTTAGCTTTTGCTAAAATGCACTTTTAGACCCTAATTTCTACTTCTAAAGCCATAATTCATACCTAAAGCAGATTACCAAATATTTAAAATTGTGTTTTAGTAAAAATAGAAGCTATATATTATATTCAAATGCACTCCCAAACACCCTCTTGGTAAAAGTTCAACTCACCATCAAGGACTTAGGCCTCGTTCTCTTTTGCATTGTGTTTTTCTTGAATTTGAAATGTATCATTCTTAAATGTCATTGATTCTTGCAATCATTAATTAGAGATTAGGTACATAACCTTTTTATAAAGAAAGAACTGAACGCAGGTGGAGTAGGGTGGTCATAAATGGGGATTAATGGCATATCTATCTTGTTTGGCCAGGCTTGCGTGTTTAGTTGAGGGTTCGATGCGCAGGCGCGTCGGACTACTCTGCATTATTCATGAAGTCAACCCAACCTTTTGGAGAAGGAGGACATTTATTGGTTACAACGGGTGAAGACGTGAAGCAACACTGGTTTTGCTCGGGCAACGCAAATACTCATTTGTTTCATCAATACAAATGAAAGGGGAGTGCTAGCACATATTCGAACCATAGAATGAAAACATATCAAGGATGATGTCGGGGTTATTATCAGCACGTCCTTGCATGGCGTATGTTGTCATAGTTGGAGCTCTACCATTGTGTTGGGTGGCCTGCTATTACGACCTATGTTGTTGTTGTTGTTCCATAAGTTGCTTCAAGCCCTCGCTTTTCCTAACCACCTCTTTCGTCTCTTCGTACATGGCGAAAAAGTCCTGCCTAGCTATTTGTTTGTCATGGACATATTGGTCTGCAGTTCAGAGCACATGCCCTCAAAATTTGTTACAATGCATCCTGGTGGTGTTCACCAAGTCCTGGCCACTCTACCAAATAGTCAAACATGTGTTGGTATCAATTCGGGCAAGCTCATGTTGTCCATCTTCAGGTTGGTGAACTCCTCACTTAATTTTCAAAATTATACTGTTGTGTGGAGTTTGAGTAACTGATCACAATGATGCAATCAGATTTTAATTTGGAGAAAGTTGAGCCAAAAAGTGTATCCCGATTAGAACTATTTTAGTCTCAATCAGGGAAATATGTATAAAATCAGCCCAAATCGCACTGAACGCCACTGATCACCGATTGTTACCAATGCGCAGGAACTCCTTTGGCACCTTATCTTATATTTTTCCTCTATCAGGAGTGTCCAAGCTCCTCAATTTCTCCACCATTCCTTCTAGTTCTTCTTCCTATAGCTTCCTTTGAGTGTGAAAAACGCAGTGGTGCTTCCCGGAGAGCTTGAAGTCGCCAGAGATAGCTGTGGTGTTCGCCAGATGTTTCGCCGTAAAATTTACATTTCCTTTGTTTAAGCTCAAAATGAGCCATTAAAAATATCTAGTGATTAAAATCCTCATATAGATTATTTATATGTTCATAAACGATCATTTGATTGAGTTATGTGTTAGAAAAGTTCAAAATATATTTTTTGATGAACTAAGATTTATAAACCTGCAAATTATCATTAAAGCTTCGAATTAATGGTTTAAAAATAATCTATGGATGTTAGAGAATATTTTTATATAGTTAAATCAAAGTTTGGTAGCTTAAAATGGTATTTTGGAAGTTTGAACCAAGGTTGAAGACGAAGTACTGTGCAAAATTTCCAAACTAGTTGCAAAACAATCAACCGTTCAACAATACGGTTGACCGTCTATCAAACCAGTATTTCCATGGTGGTAACGATCAACCGTCACATGTCTAGTAGTACGGTGGTGATAACGGTCAACCGTCGCACAAAAACGATCGACCATCACGGGCTATTTCAGAACTGGAAAATCCGAGTTTTAAAACTGTAAAATCCTATTTTGCTACTTTTCAACTATAAATCTGCATTAATATCATTTCCAAGTTAAATATGAAGTTTTGATTAATTTAAAAATCTTATTTGATACATGACGGTAAGCTAAGGTGTTAACAATCAACGCTAGGCCGGGAATTGTTATTAAAATATTATGATGATGATTGCTATTGATTATGATGATTGAACTTTGATTAAATATTAATATAATGAATATCCTCATTTAATTGTGATTATGATGATTGAACTTTGATTAATTTATGTTTTGGGATTATTTATTTTAAACTGTTTTGAAAATGTGTTGTGTTTGAATGTCAATTTAGTAGTAACTTGGTTCGCATAAAGTAAACCCATGGGTTAGCAAAAATTTAAAGCCCAATGAAGGTGTGTTTTGATTCCAATTTAAAACCACATCTTTCGTTACCAAAATGTAGCACTCTAACCCGCATAACCCGAACCCATGGATTAACGAATCGGGTTGCTACATAATTTGGTATCCACATATCATGCACAATATTTACAAGACTTTTTAAAACTAAAACATTCGTCACCATTTAATAAAACATAGTCTCATCGGAGTAATAAATCAAAACATCGCGGAAGCCATTAAAACATTATCACAAAACATCTTTGTAATTTAAATACTCCCTCCGTCCCACTCTTTTTGTCCACTTTCATTTTTACACACCATCCAATGCACTTCTTTAATCCATTTTATCTTGTAATTTATATATTAAAAAATTATAAAAATTATATATTAATAATCTATATGTTAAGACAAATCAAACAAGATCACACATGACTATTTTTAGACTTACACATTGAGAGAATTTGATGAGTCAAAGTGCTTAGGTGAACAGTTCCAAAAGTCAAAACTGGACAAAAAGAGTGGGACGGAGGTAGTAAATGATTTCAATGAAAATATAAATTTAAATAAAACAGCTTCATATCATCCACTCCGCCAACCATCAATTACCACCGGGCTGCTCATCTAATCTTTGATTCTTATCTGCGTTCAGTCAAAGACAATAAAAGCTACACACACTCAATGACAATATATATATATATATATATATATATATATATATATATATATATATATATATATATATATATATATATATATATATATATATATATATATATATATATATATATATATATATATATATATATATATATATATATATATATATATATATATATAACGCTTGAATAAACTTACAAAATAATGCTATAATCATAGACGACCACACAACATCACGCAATTAAACAGTTCCCAATCATCATCCAACAACATTATCAATCAAAAATCATCGATCCTAGCATATAATCATCTATCATTGATTTAACCTATGTCTGCTAAGGCTAGGTCAATCAACTAGAGTCATGACATTCATTGCGAATACTAAGAGATCAAGCTCAAACCCAATGAAAGTCTCCAAAGGCGGGGTTAAGTCCCTATCAAAGCGGATATCGAGGTAGGTTACTGACTCCCGTACGTAGTTTTGAACCCTAGATCATTATGTATGCACTCATGCCTCACTTACATGGCATGTATCCTATCTTAGACACATTGGTGATTCAAGATATTTAGTTCAGTTCAAATTCACCTAGGTACACTAGATAGCGTAGTCCTCAATCACAATCCATCATCATTCACAATTCATCACCAATAAGCTAATAAGCTCCATGAAGTTATAAGATTCTTTCATGCAAATCCATCATATCAAACAATGGCATATCAAATTGATAATTTTATATGGGCTATAATACAGAGTATTACTTTTAAAAGATTTTGTTTAAAAACCAAAAACTAGAAATATTTTTTTAAAAAACTAAAAAACCAAAAAAAGAGTAAATTTTAAAACTAAAGAACAAAAAACCAACATTAACACCCTTTAATTGAAAAATAATGGAGAAGAAGAAAGCTAACCAAAATATTCATATCTACTTGCAGAAAAACTCAAGTGTGCTTGGAACTAAAATCAAAAACTTAAAAAGTAAAACTATAAAAAAATTGAAATATATTGTTGGGATTCCTCCAAGTCCCACACCGGATGTTTAGGAGTAATTGAACCAAAATATATAGGTTTACCCAACCCCATTAGCATGAGACCTTTTGGGAGGTGCCCAAAAACAAATCTGTGAGAGCTTGGACCAGAGCGGACAATATCATACTAATGCGGGGTTGGGGTGATGGCACGCCAGTCCCAACATATATCCTAAAGAATAGGCTAGAGTATCGTAG